TATCGTCATCACCAGCCTCATCACGACCATCACCAGCCTCATCACAAGAATTTTCATTGTCTTCTCCATTCATGACTTTCTCAGAACCATAAGCAGCTTCATCACTTGCGTTGCTTTTCGGATTGAAATCTGTAACACTTTCGCATAGCAAAGGACTAATATGCATCTCGTAACTTCCTAAATCCTTACGATAGATCCCAAAATTTATTTTCCCCAATTATGAGGAACCGTAGATGTTTCTCCCAAAGCTACGTGGTTATATGGTGTTGTTGAGACTTGGATTAGGGTGAAACGCAATGAGTAATCGTGATTAATGGTTTAATCGGGTTTAGTAATCGTGATTATCTATCTCAATTGGAGAGGTACTGTTTTAGATGGTTTTAAAAGTATAAGTTGATTTATGCAGAATAAATCAAGTTTGTGTTGTTTTATGAAGAGATCAAAAGTACATGTTGAAATACTGAGAATAGAATAAGTACAGGTTGTAATAATGTGGCAACCCTTTATTAAATAACACTAGATTTGAGTTAGAGTTAGACTCTATTAAAATCCAGTATCCAATAACACCCACTAAAAGTAAAATAAAAAAAAATAAAAAAAATTGACGGTACGAAAACATTAACCAAGTTTTAGGAACTAAAGACCAAAACCTCGAACTTTTTCTACAAATTTATTTTGTTGTTGTAACCAAACGATTAAACTGATAACTATAATATTTCTAGAAACCTAACTTTTATTGATTTTTACAGCAAAATAAAAAGGGTTTTGGATTTGCAAAATATAAAAGATTAGGATGTGTCTAGCTTAGTGGAGTACTCATAGGCCATACGAGATTACGAGTAAACTGGTGGGGTAACTTTATATAATCTAGCAAAAGTGGAAGATGTTGCAATTTTACAATTTGGTTACTGTAATGAGTTTAGTATAATACTATATACCCTACACTACAGCCTCCATCCTAATTATATATTTTCCTCACTATACAGTAAACATGGATATTATTTTCTCATACTATAATCATATCTATTCTGCTTTTGATTGCCTTTACTAAACAATCCCTTAGTGCCGCTAATGTAAAACAAGAACTATATTCCAAACTTTTCATCTTTTACCTACATATACTGTAATCAATTCGTTTTCATTTTACAATGATTTTTTTTATTTAAATATAATAGTGTTGTATAAATTAAATGTGTGGTGTCAAAAAAAAAAAGAATTGTAAAGATACACTTATTAGTAAAATCCAGACAAAATTATTAACGTTATTTGACTATAGTATCAATCATTTTCCTCATTGTTTTTGTTGTTCGTTTAATTTTGATCATCATTATTAATGACCATATGAAGGGATTATAACTAATTGTTGCTGTCAGAAACGAATCAGACTGGAGAATAACCAATGATTAGGAATACTTTATTTTATTTTATGAGAAATGCAGTTGAATACTATAGGTACTAATTTATTTATTTCCTTAAAAATCAATAATTATTACAATTATAGGAGACGAAAATGTATTGTAGTCGGGGGAAGAAATAATAAATGACCATGTTTCATGTTATATCTGAGTTAATAATAATAATAATGGAACATACTAGTATGTATGTATATATGATACTATAATTATGTAATTAAATGCATTTGTTCTTTGAAATGACCAACTTATAATCAATGCGACAGACACGTTTGCGCATTTGATGTCACATATTATTCCTGGATTACTAATATTATTAACTTTATAAGGAGTATAACTTGTCCATGTTAATTTCTTAATGTGATTCTCAGCTGATAAGACATTATTATGTAAATCCAGATCGAGTTATTTAAAATAAGTGCGTAGAAGTTAAAAAAGAAAGTATCAAATTCCAACTTTTTACACCATTTTAATAACCATTGGAATATAGAGTAGTATATGATTAAAATTAACTAAAATTGAGAAAGTTAATTAGTGATAAAAAAAAAATTGTGAACAATCAACTTCATTATATTCAGTAAACAACAAATCGTAGACAAAAATAGACAAATAGTTATGGCCAATTTATTTTAGAGAAGAGAGAGCTTGCTTATGTTCCCCATACAATACAAAAAATCTTGGGATCTATGAAATAGAAACAAAGTGAAAAGGCAAAGACTTCTTTAGTTTCCTATGAGATTTTGTATTGTCAGAGAGAACTCAGAAGATTAGATTTTGTGAACAGAAAAAGAAAAAAAAAGAAACAGAAGAGAAGAGAGGTCTTATCAACGCTCTCCATCTGTTTCCCATGGAGGCGATCTGTCCTTCCGACCAAACACGTCCTCTCCATCTTTTTTTTCTTCTTTCTTTCTTCTATATACTCTACTTCTGTATGTATATAGTGCAATGGTTTTAGATGTGTCACAGATGTGCTAGTATGGATTTAATTCATACAATTGGAAGATTTAATTGACAATTACAATTGTGATCACTGTCAGTTATCTTGAAAAACAGTTATAAAAAAACGTATCAAACAAAACATTCTGCTCTTGAAGCGAAGTTAACACTTTCTATAATAAACCAAACAGCCATTTAGGTTTTTGCATGATGAAAAATATATATAATACTTCTAATTAATTGAGGTATAAGAATGTGCGATGGTATTTGTTTTTTTTTTTTAAGAAAAATATTATTGAATCAAGTTAATAACATAAATAATATCACCGAAACTTTTATATAGTTTTTATACAAATATATTTTTAAAGAAATCATTATTAAAAAGATCGGAAAAAAAAAACTAGAAGAAAAGGACAAGAAATAAAAAAGGAAGTAACCACTCAAGTTCATGAATCTCAAACAGATACAGGTCCGACGACACACACACTAGTTACTATAAAAACCCTTTTCCCCCATAAGTCTCTCTCTACTCCTCCTCGCACAAGGCACAAATCCTCTCATCTCAAAATAGTTAAATTAAAAAAACAAAATGCCTAACAGTTCAGTAACCGAAATTTCAAAATGCGTAGTGCATCCGGAGAAGAAGTCCACTGTCTCCGATCTCCGTCTCTCCGTCTCCGATCTCCCTATGCTCTCTTGCCACTACATTCAGAAAGGCGTCCTCCTCACGCGCCCTCCTTCTTCTTCCTTCTCCTTCGACCACCTCGTCTCCTCTCTCCGCCGTTCTCTCTCCTCCACCCTCTCTCTCTTCCCTCCTTTAGCCGGCCGTTTCTCCACCTGCCCCGCCGGTCACATTTACATCGTCTGCAACGACGCCGGCGTTGATTTCGTCGCCGCCTCTGCCAAACGCGTCAAAGTCTCCGACGTTCTCCTCCCGGGTAAAGACGTTCCCCTTCTCTTCCGCGAGTTTTTCGTCTTCGAGCGTCTCGTTAGTTACAACGGCCACCACAAGCCTCTCGCTGCTGTTCAAGTGACGGAGCTCCACGACGGTATTTTCATCGGCTGCACCGTCAATCATTCCGTTACCGACGGCACCTCCTTCTGGCATTTCTTCAACACCTTCGCTGACGTCACTAGCGGCGCCTGTAAGATCAAACACCTCCCGGATTTCTCCCGTCACACCGTCTTCGATTCTCCGGCTGTTCTACGAGTCCCTCCCGGTGGTCCACGCGTCACTTTCGACGCCGATCAGCCTCTCCGGGAGAGAATTTTTCATTTCACCCGAGATGCCATTTCCAAACTCAAACAGAGGTCCAACTACAGGGTCAACGGAATCGAAACCGCCGCTGGCAACGACGCTAAGAAATGTAACGGTAACGGGGATATAACGACCGCCGTTCTGGAGAGTTATTTGAAATCGGATAAGAAGAATCATGATCGAACGGCTGAGATTTCGTCGTTTCAGTCTCTCAGCGCTCAGCTATGGCGATCCGTTACGCGAGCGAGGAACCTCGATCCGAGCAAGACGACGACGTTTCGAATGGCGGTTAATTGCCGGCACAGGCTTGAGCCCAAGATGGATCCTTACTACTTCGGAAACGCGATACAGAGCATACCGACGATGGCGTCCGCGGGTGATCTGCTAAGCAAAGATCTCCGGTGGTCCGCCGAACAATTACACAGAAACGTGGTGGCGCACGACGATGCGACGGTACGCCGTGGAATCGCTGCTTGGGAAAGCGATCCGAGGATGTTCCCTCTGGGGAATCCAGATGGAGCTTCGATTACGATGGGGAGCTCGCCGAGATTCCCAATGTACGACAACGATTTCGGATGGGGAAAGCCACTAGCGGTGAGGAGCGGCGGAGCGAACAAATTCGACGGGAAGATATCGGCGTTCCCAGGTAGAGAAGGGAACGGAAGCGTAGATCTGGAAGTAGTTTTGGCACCGGAGACTATGGCTGGGATTGAGAACGATGCCGAGTTTATGCAATACGTATCACAAGTCAGTTACGAGTGTTGAAAGCGACGTCGTTTGTACCTGGTCTTCTTCTTGATTGATAATGACCAAAAAATAATAAATATCTATAAGTTGATAAGAGGAAGGAACTTGATTGATGACATGGCACTTTCAACGGTTGAGATTTATCAACAGATTTTTAGATAATATCCAAGAGTTGTGAAGCGACGGCGTCTTACGAGAGTCATACTGGTCTTTGTTGTATCCTTTCACTGGGCACGTTCTTAATGTGACTGTATTAATGTACAAAATCCCGTCTTTTTCAATTCGATAATGGTGTGAGCTTTTTCTCTTTTCTTCCCAATTAACAAATCTTTTAGTAATCAGTTTATTTCTTGATTACTTTAGAGAGGATATAATACTTTATAATAAAACTAAAAAATCAGAGTAACAAATATCCGACAAAATAATTGACCTTGGAGGACTATCTTAAATCGTATTGTTTTGGGGAGGCAAAGGAGTAGTAATGGGACCTAGCCCATGCTTGTAAGTTGTCCACTGGTAACAAAAGGCCCAATTTATTAGCGATTAATGGGCCTATTGTTAGGATGGTGCCTCCAGCGACTTATAACGACCGACCTTTGTACGTACGCACACACGTTTTGGTTTCATCTTTTTTTTTTTGGTTTCATCTTCACTTATGAATTTTCTGATGGGGATGAGAAAACGGAGCTCAAGCACAACCACGCCGTTGTTGTGGCTCTCAACGATCCGGTTTAAATTGGTCCAATTCGTTACAATGATATTCTCGTTTATTATTATCAAAAACAATACTTTTTAAGACTTTTAGTACGTAAGGTATATCATTTATTAAATACAAACAGTAAATCATTAATCACTAAAGGCCAAAGTCCAAACCAGGTTTTAAACCCACTACTAGACATATATAGACACATATCTTACAATTTACAACGTCAACCTTTCCATTAACTTATACATATAAGCAAATCCAAAGTGTGTAAGATAGAACACCCACGAAACAGACGATTTTCAGCAAAAGAAACCATAAACGATCACATCTTCATTGCTTATATTATATATATCCTACACGTTAACTTCCGGCACTGGGAACAGCCGTTTAATCAACCAATTGATTGGTCCCAAAACCTGAACTTTCTTTTTCCTCCAGAACCAAATCGCTGCACTGTACTGTTCATTGCGTATCTTCGTCGTTGCTGCTCTCCAGTCATATTTCTCAGTCTCTTCTCTTGCCGCTTTTCCAATGACTTCTCTTATTTCACTGTCGTGCAATAAAGTTCTCAGCTTTGTCACGCAGTCTTCCACATCTCCAGGGTTGAACAGAAACCCGGTTTTTCCCTCCTAGAAACATCATAATTTAAGGGGGACAAACATCAGAATCATAAATCTCAATATCACCTTAAAGTACTTTGGTTCTCCCATAAGAACATCATCAAAATTTATATGTGCAATGATTTGGTGTGACAGCAAAATCTAATCCGGATACTTCACTGACCTGGTCTTCAGGGATTATATCAGGGATTCCACCGGCACGGGCCGCAACAACAGGAAGTCCTGACGCCATTGCCTCAAGAACCACAAGACCAAGGGTCTCTGACTCTGATGGCATCACAAACACATCTCCGCTTGCGTAAGCTTGGGAGAGTTCATCGCCTTGTAACATTCCAGTGAAAACCGCTGGCATTCCGGTAAACAACTTCTCAAGATCCTCTCTTTAAGAAAACCAAATAGATAAACAAAAATTACAATGTTGTTGTCTAGAAATATCCAGCTAACAGTATGACCAATCTTTTAACAAAATTAGTACTTGTATGGTCCATCTCCAATGAAAGCAATCCGAGCTTCAGGTAATTTGTCCATTACACTGCACACAGATTTCTCAATTTCAGATTTGGATGGATACACTACATAAAGGGAGTGAGTTCAGTATAAAGCTACAAAAATCTAACCTTTTTAGAAGCTCCAAACTCTTTTCTACGCCAATACGGCCTACATGGATCACTAGTGGCTTTTCTGGTTCGCCATTACTGTTAATAGCAAGGCAATTAACTTTAAAATTAGCTGGGAAAGTATCAATGTAATATAATTTACAAAAGAAAAGTTTATTATTTTCTTGCCTCAGTCTTATACGCATTTCTTGAGAACGGAAACGGGGATTGAAGCTTTCTGAATCAACACCCTTGTTCCAAAGTCGAAGTTGATTAGCTTCAAAATATGAAAAAGAAGAAGAAAATGTTAGTTTTTAAACAATCACAAAAAGTTTGTCGAACAATGTAATGTTTTATCTTTCTTCACCTGCAGTTGCACCAGCTGCTATAAGATCTTTTCCAATGGCAGCGGAAGGAACTAATGTAAGATCAGCCGCTCTGTGAAGGAATCCTGATAAAAGCTTATTCAATTTTAGTTACATAGTACAAGACAATAACCAGATTTTAAGAAGAAGAAAATTTCGAAATTTAAGAAGCGGATTTTACATACTTATTATAGACCACATGGGTTTTACCAACCAACTAAAAGTGTATCTTGGGATGTATCTGCACATCAACGCAATCTTTAGAATCATCTCAATAATTCAAGAGCTATAAGCCAAAAAATATCCAACAACAATTGAAATGAGGCAGATAAAGAAACTTACACAGGGACGTGTGTGTGGTAAGACATTACTATAGGTACAGATAGCATTTTTGCTATTGCCAGAGCACCAAAAACCTAAAGAAATTGAGTCAGCTAAAATTACTAAAAAGGTCAAGTTGTGGATTCAACTTCACTGTTGTGCTAATGTTTTAGTGATGAGATTTCTCAAGGACTTTACCATTATCCCGGGAGATGAAGCGTGTATAATGTCAGGCTTAAACCGTGCAATTTCAGAGATGATTCTTGGACTAAGCGCAAGTGAAAGGGGAACCTTTTGGTAATAAGGACAAGGGAAGCTGCAGAACAGGAACGAGAAATCAGCAATAACTACCAAATGAAGAGCATAAAGTGATATTTCAGTTGAGAAAAATGTTGTTACCTTCTTGATCCAATGACTTTGGCTCCGTAAAACTCATCAGGAACACCTTCATGTGTGGTAACGACTATAACCTATGAAGCAAAACAGTTAAATCAGGTAAAGAGATGGGGTAGTTTTCACTTTACAAGTAATTCTAATTCTGGAAACAGTTCGTTAAGTATTAGGTACTAAAGTGATACTTGAATTAGAAGATACTTAAATTTAAGAAGAAAAGAACAAACCTCGTCTCCCATTTCACGCAGATACCTAATGAAATTCTGGAATCTGTTTTTGTATCCGGAGACATAGCTGTGAAATCAATATACAAAATCAATTAAAACAATGACATAAAAAAAAAAAAAAAAAAAAGCTTTTGATTCAATGATTCCGAGAATCCAGGGATACTCTTCACACAACCAAATCTGAATAGTTTGAACTCAACACCGGATATGAAATTGGTTTTACTAACATTACAGGAAAGTCAACCACAAGAAAGAATTGAGCACAAACCGTTTTCACAGAGGCATTTCGTCGAACACAAAACAGACAAAAAAAAAAGACCACAATAAAGACTTACGCAAACGGGGAAGGCTCAACGAAGAGAGCAATTCTCCTGGGCTTGGAGAGAGACTCAGGATCGAGGAGGGGAGCTTCAATCTCCGATTCGTCATCTTCCCGAGCTTGAGTAAGAGTCATATCGTTAGACCCAGAAGCAGAAGTGGAAACAGCTTCCCTTGTAATATCTCCACAGAAGAAGTTAGGTTTCTTGCGAACGAAGCTAATGGGTATCCTCCGGTGACACCCAAAGGAAACAAAAGAGCACCTTGAAGGAAAAGTGGTAGCAGAAAAAGAACAAGTGTTGATGATGGTCGCGCTAGGAAGCAAAGAAGGAGGAGGACATAGAGAAAGATTTATAGAGAGGGAAGAACAGGTCATGGCTCTTTTTTTTGTTTTGTTTTTTATAAATTAATAAAAAAAAATTCTGAGGATTTGGGGTGTCTCTGTTATAAGTCGATTAAACACAGCAAACGTCAGAGCAGAGAGAAAAAAAAATACTTTTAATTTTATGGGACGGGAGGATCGAAGAAGGAATCTGAAGAAGAAGAAAATTTTAAAGAAATGGGAATATCCTCTCTTTTTTTGTTTGTGAGGCAGAGAGAGAGAGACATATAAAACTAGAAAGCATCAAATATTTCACTTATTTTAGCATATTCTTCTAATTCCATCTCTTTCTCTTGTTTTTATATTTTATATTTACTTGTTTCCTAATATATTTATATTTTTTTCGAAACTATTTTGTAGATCCAAAAAAAACAATCTTTCTCGAAATCTATATTATTTATTTTTTAAGAATATATGTTTTATATTGACCGTTTATCATATATAAATATATTACAATATTGAGTGGTTATCATAGGAAATACATATGTTATATGTACGAATTTAAAATTTCTAAATGGTGGTTATGTAGTTGTATCTGGGGAGTACAAATTGTGCGTGCCATTGTGGTTAGTTAAAAGATGTCGTCAATGCTATTACTAACGTAACGAGACATATTCTTTGGAGAAGCGGCCAACGAATTTGGCTTCGTGACTTAAATAACTTTGATTTTGATTTGGATATATATATATATATATATATATATATATATGGCTCACTCCATGATATTTGTTTTGATAGACCATTTTAAATCATTTTATTAACATATAATTAGTCTAATTTTGTGTACATGGTGGATCATTCATGCGCACTAACTTCAGTTTCTCGATATATAAGAAAACGCAAAATGCTAATAAGGTTTCGACTTTCGACAATGATGAATGATTATAGAGTCAGTCAGGTTATATTATGTACGTACGTACTCCTCAAGACAAAACATTTGACTTTGTTATTAATGTCGGTCAATAGAACAAATAGTTTTTCGTTACGTATCATATACTATCGTTTTGATTATTACTTCGAATTATATCTGGCTTACTTACTTGTAGATCCGTATAAACTAAACTCAAATCAATACGCCAACACAACCTCCTTATTTATATGTATATATGTTATTTTGCTTTATAAATGCCAAATCAAAAAAAAAAGAAAAAAAAAGGACAGAGAGATAAGTAAATATGATGGTATCTGAAATCTATTCGAGTGAATATTCGTCTCTCACTAATAAGCATCTCTCTCCCTCTGATCTTAAATAATGCTTAGCTGTCCCAAATGCATTATGTGGAAGATCTTACATGATTCAAGAATTGTGATTTTGTTTTTTTCTTTTCTGGATTACCCAATAGATTTATAGATTTCCCCGGGGGGTTTTATATTAGGTTTTCCGAGGTTAGGACTTAACTAGAATGCACAACATACAAAACGTATTGCTGTGAAATTTGACCAAAACAACTCATATCTCCATGTAGTGCGGTTACGATAATGTGTTGGATGGTATAAGGTATGATTTTGAAGTAAACTATTTTTTCACTCAATGACAGACAACATGATTGATGGCTTCGAAATAACATGATGAATTGATATGATGATCCAAATATATCTATTACACTAAATGGGCCAAACTGGACCTTTATTGTTATTATCAGTGGATCTGTATCGGGTTAAGTTACTTCGTTCCTTTGGCCCAAAGATGACGACGAATTACACATCAAAATCTACTGTATATGGATGGACTCTCTTTATAGGATGTGACTCGGGTTAAAATACAAATTTTGATTAGTTTATTATTAATTTTGGAAGTTCAGAGTTTTATTTTAATTTTTAGTTTTGGGATATTTTTATTGATAGGCTTTTAATTTGAGGTTCTTAGCAAAAAAATATTTATTTAAAAATTAAATTAAATTTAACATTTTTAATTTTAAAAAACTTAATATTTATTGCAAATTAAAAATTTTAAAACATACATAAGATATAATTTATAACATAAAGCACAATAATTTATTTTTTCTTTGTTCTTTGTCCAATCAATATTAGACACATGTCGGCTCTTAGCTCTTGCTTATGAACGTTTCTTAACATTTATCACTATTAATCATTTAATTTTAACCATATAAATCTCTAAGAAACAATTAAGAGTCTACCATTAATCATAGTCTAACACGCAACTATGTTAGTTAAAATTGTGAATAATTGAGGCCAAGCCTAAGGTGAGAGTTAGAAAAGTGTATTGTTTAACTCTTATTACTTGTAAGTTCAGTTATTTGTAAGAAAACTGAGATAACTTTCTTGTTTGACATAATCAAACTTTCATCTAGTATTATTAGACATCAAAAGAGAGAGGACATATATAATGTTTTACACATAAATCATATATAAATGAATGTGAAACATTGAGTAGGGAGTAGGACCCCCTAATATAATACTCCACCTAAAAAAACAAAGCTGACAAATAGTGACAATATATATGACAATCAATCTGTATTTTTTTTTTTGTCTTGTATATCATACATATACAATTTTTATCTTCTAAATTACTTATATTGTTCTTAAGTTGAATCTTCTGTTACTACTATTAGACAATTTAGACTCAATTTACTCTTTAACTTCAAAGCTTTTCCCTCGTCTTACTTTTTGACTATCAGTTTTGGTTTCCCTTTATTAAAATATCTATATATATAAAGTTAGCTTTTTCTCTCTTCTCCTTAAGCCACATCATCATCCACCTCATTTTATTATTTAATTTTAAAAATTAATTATACCATTTTATCATTTAATTTTAAGATTTAAACCTATATAAATAAGTTTTTCAAAAAGGAATATGAAAGATCTTTTTTATATTATACATAATAAAACTAAAAAGATGATTTGTTTAAAAGTTAAAAAAACTTACTAATTATCGATTATACAAACAAATATATAAATAATAGATTATAGTTTGTAATGAGTATTTAAAATATATATATCTTATTATATAAACCTTGGTTTTCAAAGTCAGCCATTAACAAGATCGTGACACGTGTCAATTATAAACGATAAGATGTTGACACGTGTCGTAACTAATTTTGTTAATATTTGGATAAAATAGAAATATTATTAACCGTATCGAAAAAGGAAATATATAAAATAAATACTATAAAAATTATATATTAAAAATTATTAGTAAAATTAAATAAATAACCTAATTTTAGTTATGTCAATTTGGTTTATTAATAAGATAGGGATTTAAAATTTATAATTAACAAGAATATATGGCGATTTTTGTTTACAGAAGAGGATTAAGGTTTAAACTTTAATTTTACAATTAAATCAGGTTATTTGTTGGTTTGGGTATATAAATAATAAAAACATATAAAAACTTTTTAAACCTTATAAAAACCGTATAAAAGTCTTATAAATGCCGTTTACAACCTTTTTAAAACTTTATAAATATTTGTATTGAGTCTCCCAAAAGTAATGATGATCTAGATGTACCTTATAAACTATATACAAGTTTAAAAATTTTCATATCTGAAAAGGAATATTTTTAAAATGGATAGAAAATTGGTGTATTTTTAAAAAGGGGTACATCAAAAGGGGTATTTCTCAAAAATTATCTTTCAACTATTAACCTAATTTTTGGTTTTGCCAGTTGTAGGTTTTACAATTATAAGGGTTAGATGTTGAGTTTATAAATCTGCATTATAGTTTAGATTTTATAATTAAACAAGATTATTTATCGGTTTGGGTTTATTAAAGAGGAGTGGGATTTAGGTTTTACAATTAAACAAGCTTATTTATCAGTTTGGGTTCATAAAGGAGAATTAGGATTTATAGTTTACAAATAAATTAGATTTCATTGTCTAAAACATAAGGGTGAATAAAAGATTTTCAAAAATAATATTTTTAGCTTAAATTAAAGATAACAAAGTTCAATATAAATCGTAATATAGTAATTTTAAAATATTTTTAAAGAAAATATGTAGTTTTTTTATAATTCTTATTTGAAAGATTTTTTAATGTTTTCCTCAACGATGCTATATTTATT